AAATTCTTCCTTTACCTGCTAAACAACATTTGCTATTTTTATCTTTGTGATGACAAATGAATAATTACAAACACACCAATACACACACTGGCACACACTATGGAGAAATATCTCCTCAGATTTTTAGCCTGTTTTATTTTCTTGTGCTATAATTGAATTTTGAATCAGGGCTTCTAAGTCTTATTTTGGTCAAATCTGGTACTCTACCCCCTTGAGCCACACTTCCATTTTTGGCATTCTGCTCATTAGTTTGAGCTAAGAATCTTTCTGACTTATCTGTCCAAGTTTAATATGAACTGAGATTCCCGATGTAGCCTCCTGAGTTGTTAGGATCACAGAAGTGGGCCACTAGCTCCTGGCCTCATTTCAATTGAATTATATTTCTTAACCAAGATGAATCTTGTTAACATCCAACATCCCTACAGTGTAAACCAGTCACCCTTTTTTGTAGCAGTTTTAAGGAACAAATGAGTCAGGCACCTAGAAGTAGGCTGATTATTGTATACAGTTTCATGCTATGCATGATATCACTGTGTTTACCTATAGATGAAAACATTTTAAACATTTCTCTTGATAACCTGTTTTCTATTTAACAGTGCCTTTTTAAATAATCTTAACAAATCTTCTATTCTTTTATGTAGATTACCTCATCCATGGGATCCTATAATGTATGGTCTTTGGTCAAAGTCTGACGTTATGGGGGGAAAATGTGACTAGGAACTAATTTTGTGAAAGTAACTGGTCATATCATATACACCATTGTCTATGAGTGTTTATACAGCAGTAAAAGTCCTGGTGGAGGTTCTTGCATGGCACTGGGTAGGTGCTTCTGTAGAACCTGCACTCTAGAAAAGTAAGTATGGAGTCTATGACTCTATGCTGGAGTGTGATTCTGATCTTCTTTTCACAGGTTATCACTAGACAAAGAAGTATCTACTCTCACTGTTTCACAAAATGCTCACAATAAGCTTTACTTTCTCTCATGCTACCTCATACCTTTGAGTTGAGGGACCTAATGCCCAAAGAAAAAATAAATCCTCAATTCTCATAGATACTAAATGTTGACCTAATTTATAGTCAAATTTAAGGTACCAATGAATTGGTTCCTTACGTGACACTAAAGACACTGAAGAAAAAATTGAAATAGGACCAAAAATATATGATGTTTAATTTAAAGTAAACTGCAATGTGTAAAGTATATGACTCACTCAGTACAATAAGCACTACACAGGGAATCCAGAAGATCTGAATTTGTCTTGTTGCATGACTGTTAAGTAAAACAATTATAGCAATGAACTAAATTAAAAAATGTCTCAGAAATCAAGTTGGGAGTTACTGATAGAAGATTTTTATCTACCTATAGTAATTGCAAATTGTATACAGAATTTTTTATTTTGAAAGGACTGCCAGGCGCTGGTGGCTCATACCTGTAATCCTAGCTATTCAGGAGGCTGCTATCTGAGGATCTCAGTTCAAAGCCAGCCCAGGCAGTAAAGTCCATGAGACTCTTATCTCCAGTAAACTACCAGAAAAACCAGAAGTGGTGCTGTGATTCAAGTGGTAGAGTCCTCACCTTGAGCTGAAGATCTCAAGGGCAATGCCCAAGCTCACCACAACCAACAAAACAAAAATATATAAATATATTTATATATACATATATATATGAGGGAAAAATTAAGCCACAATATGGTCTATGACATTTTTTATCTTGGGTTGATTATTTATAACCCTATTATATCAACACATTAGCAATACTAATAGTGGGATTATTTTTGGTATTGTCACCAAATGGATGTCAGTCATTATTAGTTAGAAATCTTATGTAAATTATTGAGATTAGTTTGACAAATACAATTTATCTGTTTTGGAGATTTTTCAGGAATGTTTTGGTTACATATGTCTTCTCAAAAATTACATGGAATGTAATTATGTCTTATAACTTCTGTTTTCATATGTGTTAAAATGTAATTCGTGACCCTTAATATGACTATATTAATGGGATTCAATCTGAACTTAAATTCATTTATTCTAATATTGAAAGAAGTATCTCATAAATGACATTTAGATTCAGTTTAATAGGTTGACTTTTAGATTCAATTATATTTTTACTGATTTTCTTGGTGCTTCACCTTTCACTTCCTCTAAAGGATTGCTGAAAATATCCAATTTTATCAACAGATACATGCAACCTATCTCTTAACCCTGGTATAATATTCATGCACATGAAGTTTAAGTGATTTTCAGAATGAATCCTTACATCATTCTGCCTTTCTTTATCTCTAATAATTTACTTGTTTTGAACCTGATTTGGTGTGCCATTAATAAAAGCAATACGAGTAGTGCTTTGTTTTAGGGTTACAATGGCTCATATTTCTTTTGTTTTCAGACCTTTTTACCTATATATTGACAGTATTTGATACAAATTAGTGTTGTTTTATTTTACAAGTAATTGGATGCTCTATTTTCACTGATATATTTAGATCACCAAAATATATATGTAAGCAAAAAAAGGATTATATACTACAAACAAATTATTGTATATAATATATATTATATAATATATTATACAAACTATAATATTTTATATATAAATTTTGTCTATAATTATAGTTATGTTATAAACATAAATTTCTATCATATAAATGTACATGTAATTAGAATATAAATATAAATAAAATACTGTATATAATTATTATACAAATTATATTATGCATATCTTATTATAACATTTTTCATATTATGCATGTTTTTATATATGTCATTTTATAGATTATATAATATGTGCTTTTTCAATTATAGATATCTATGACCTAAATATTTTAATGAAAATATATGAAATTAAGTTATTCTGTCATTATATAAGTAGTTTAAGTACAACTATCTTTTGCAACATCATCTGTATTATTTTATTAACTTGAATGTAAAAATAAATATGTAAGACTGTGTTGTTGCAGGCCAATTTATCTCAATGTTATTGCTGAAATTAGGGAAAAAATCCTGTAAAATAATCTTTCTTATACAAAGTTTATGAGGAAGGGACTGAATTCGAGTGTCAATTTTAATCAAGATATGCATGTTTAAAAGAGTAACATCAGGTTTGAATACTAATTTTACATATTATTTTTCATTCCACAACCCTTTTTTGTTGTTGGTTGTGGAACTTGAACTCAGGGCTCTTTTGTTCATCACTAGCACTCTAATTTGGGGAAGAGAAGGGGAAAAAACAAAATGTTTAAATAAGGATACAGGTTGACCCATTGTAACAATGAGTGGTACAAGACACTATGTTGAAAACGAACTTTACAACTTGGTGGGGGAGGGTTGGGGAGGTAGGGAAGGAAGCTATGGTAGGGGAAAAACAAAGGAGGAGGTGACAATGCTCTATAGGAAATGTACTTATCACCTTACTATGTAACTGTAATCCCTCTGTACACTAGTTTTACAATGAAAAATGTAATTAAAAATGTCAAGATAAAAAATATAAACTAGAGGGGCTGGGAAGGTGGCTCAGTGGTAGAGTGCTTGCCTTGCATGCCTGAGGGCCTGGGTTCGATTCCTCAGCACCACATAAGCAAAAAGAAAAAAGCCAGAAGTGGCGCTGTGGCTCAAGTGGTAGAGCGCTAGCCTTGAGCTGAAAAGCTCAGGGACAGCGGCCAGGCCCAGAGTTCAGGCCCCATGACCGGACCCCCCCAAAAAATAAAAAATATATACAAACTAGAGAAAATGATGAAAAAACCTGAAGGCACATTATGCTATATGTAAGGGCTTTACTAATTTATTCACCCATCAAAAGTAACTAAATGTTTCTCATTTTATTCCACAATGGCGGCATTGGATATTTCTTATCTTGTTGATAACAGCTGTCATGTCTATGATGAGGTAAATATTGTGTTCTTGCTGTGAAATGTATGCTTTGGAAAATATTTCATGATTTCCTATTCTGTGCATCCTGTCTAAACCCACATACATATAAGGACTTGAAACCCATAAAGTCTAATTTATAATTTTCTTTAATGAAGAAATATACATGAATCTTTTAAGTGGTAATGAAGTCCAAGTATGTGAAAACAGTAAGAGTTTTATGGCAATTACTTTGTAGTAGTTTTTCAATATCAAAATAAACTTCACATTAACAGTAATAATTCAAGTAGTATATGAAAAAAATATCTTGACAGTATAAATATTAATGCTAATTTTATAGTGATTTAAATTAGTAATAATATTACTATACATAAATATAGTACATGTGAATTCAATTTGTATTTAATTTGAAGTATATTACTATTAAAACAAATTAAATATGCTACTCATAGTACATTTCCATTAGACAGTACTGTTCTCTATCGCCCTATTCAGGATGAACCAGCAGTAAGAATTGGATGCAGGTGGTTCCTGGACTCACATTTGTATCTCATCCTCATTGCCTGGCAAGTTGAGAATGGGAGGGTGACTGTTTAAGTCTATTCTGTGACAGGAAATCAAGATAAATGAGAGAATGACCATTGAGGATTCATGGTTCCAGACCAGCCAGGGAAGAAAAATCCACAAGATTTGGTCACCAAACATGGGGAATCTATATTCAGAGTTTATGCCTGTAATCCAACAGCAACAGAAAACCAAGAGTAAGCATATTATAGCTCAGGAACACACCTGGGCAAGAAGCAAGTCATGGAAACAACCAAGGAAAACATGTGGGAGTCTAAGTACAATAGCCCCTGATTTCACACTCCCAAAAGATTAGCAAAAAAACAAATTAAAAGGAGGGCTGGGAAGGAGGCTCAGTGGAAGAGTGCTTGCCTTGCATGCACGAGGCTCTGGGTTCGATTCCTCAGCACTACATAAGCAGAAAAAATCTGGAAGTGGCGCTGTGGCTCAAGTGGTAGGGCTCTAGCCTTGAGCTGAAGAGCTGAGGGACAGGGCCCAGGCCTAGAGTTAAGGCCCCATGACTGACACACACAAAAAAGTAAAAAAAGAAAGAAATAAAGTGTGGTTGTGATAGATTATCTTTTTTTCATAGAAGAAATCATACCAAGGACTCTTGACATGGCTCTCAGAACTTCCTTATTTCTCAGGCTGTAGATAATTGGGTTGAGCATGGGGGTGAGGATCGTGTAGAATACAGCCAGAATCTTATCCTCTTCAGGGGAACGGAGTTTAGATGGCTGGAAGTAGGTATAAACAAATGGTGCATAATAAAATGTCACTACAGTTAAATGTGTTGAACACGTTGTGAAAGCCTTTTTTCTTCCCTCTTTTGAGCGCATTTGGGAGACAGCAAAAAGGACCCGACCATAGGAAGCAGAGATACCAAGGAAAGGAAAGAGGAGAAATAGGCAGGTACTCATAAAAATTACATATTCATAGACCCTGGTGTCCATACAGGCCAGTGGTAACATGGATGGGACTTCACACAGGAAATGGTTAATGGCCCTAGACTTACAGTAAGGAATGTGAAAGGCATAGATTATATGTGCCAAGGAGTGAACAGAGCCCAAGGTCCAACATCCTATGATCATCTTCACACACATCCTTTTACTCATGCGGATGGGGTAGTGGAGGGGGTGGCAGATGGCCACAAAACGGTCATAGGCCATGGAGGCCAGCAGCAAGCCTTCGGAGCATGCTATTGTCACAAAAAAGAAGCTTTGTACTCCACACCCCACAAAAGAGATTCTTTTCTGGCCAGAGAGGAAATTGAACGCCATCTTGGGGACAGTGTTAGAGATGTACATCAGGTCCATGAAGGAGAGCTGGCTGAGGAGAAAATACATGGGGGTATGGAGCCGGGGATCCACACATATGAGATAGATCATTCCTGAGTTACCAAAAAAGGCAACAAAGAACAAAAAAATGAAAAGGATCATGAGAAGTAGGCCAGTTCGATTTGGAGGTAACAGCCCCAAGAGTATGAAATCACTTGAAGTTTGATTCCCTCTATGGATAAAAGTGTATTCAGTTATCATCCTTTAAAGAAACATAAAATAAAATACTTTACCATAAAACATGAATGAATATGGGCAAGAGAATCTAAGGGTACTGGTTTCATTAGTGCTTCAATAGAATGGTAAATTGTTCTCCCCCACATCATAGCATTTGTTGAATTAATTTGCAAAGTGACTAAATGCTTTTCATCTGCTCTATTATGCCAGTAAGTCAGAGAGGTGTGTACTGCTTTTTATAAGCATAAAATCACGCACAGCCAACATAAATTATCTGAGGAATTCCCCGCTATGACGCTCCTGACCAAACACATTAGTTAGAACTAGTAATAAATCTCACAATGCTAGAGCCATTGCTTAAATCTTAGAACACTAGCCTTGAGTTAAAATGCTGAGTGAAAGTTCATGAATCTTGAGTTCAAGCTTCAGTAATGGCACACTTACAAACAATTAATAAGCACCCCTATATATTGAGGAGATTTGTGACCTCTACATTTAACATAGAATTCTTCAGTAGGAATTCATAAATGTTACTCAACAACATAGTATTTGCTTAAATTCTCAGTCCACCTTCCCCTTTCCCTTTTTGCATCTTTATTTTGTCATGCTCCATTGGCACAACTCCAGAGAGACAGGTTGCATTCTTTGACAATTCAAATGTAGCATTTTAACTGTAGCATTTTAAATTAATATTGATCCATTCCTGAAAATCTGCTTATTACCACAGCACTGTTTTTATTTTTCAAAATGCTTTTCTTGAATGGAAAAGATATTGCTTGTCTCCATGCTTACAGTATTTGCATAATCTCGCCTCCCTGATGCTGTTTGCATTTTCCATGTGTGACAGAATTCAAACCAAATAGAAAGTATACCAAATAACATTTTTTATTTTCTTCAGATAAGGATATTTCTCATGATAAATGTTATAGATTATTCAATTTTGTTTTTTAATTTTACATGTCTGTAAACTAAAACTAGTGTTGTAATTGCAATTTACCATGTGTACAGTGATCAAAACACAAACAATCATATACAAACCTATATCCTCCCTATTGAAAACAGAAGGATTTGAGACGCGAACTCTTCTTCACTTTACTTCATTTATTGTAATTCTGCAAAAGCAAACATTATGAAAATTTAAGCATTAATATCTTCAGGATCTTAACTGATCCTGATGGGAAGAATAAATTGCCCAAATATTGTTAGTGACTTGAGTCTCAATTTCATCATTTCACATTTCATAATGGCTTGGATATGTTTCAACTGTCCTTGGATCTCATTCAATTCAATGTGTTTATCACCTTTCTCGAGAGTACTGTGCGTATTTCAGTACCATAGATAGACCTGGAGAGGTAGATCACATAGGCATGGGAAAGGATGAAGCTTCTCCGCCTTTGCAGTTCAAGTTTCTATCACACAGGCTACATCATGATCAGCGAAAGCTGATCAGCTAGAAAGAGAATGTGTGCTGCAGTAGATTCTTGCTTTCTAGCTCACCTATAATTGTACTTATCCTCTTCACATTGAATCACTTAAGTAAAATGAAAACAATAAATGGTGATCATGAAGAAAGGAAATGTAAAGGAGAACAAAATGAACAAATTTCACTACCTGAAGATTTTTTTGTCTGCTTCTCTAATCTCAGCCTTTGGCTTGTCGACTTTTTTCTCTCCTTTCCCATTCCCTTTTATTTCTTTCCCTCCACTTCCCTTTCCTTCTCTTCCTTTAAAACTCTGGGACTTCTTTTTCTCACAGCTGATACTTTAACACTTTAGCCATACCTCTACTTCTGGCTTTTTACTGATTAATTGGATATAAATGTTTCAAGTAGTTGTTTACCCAGCCTGGCTTCAAACTGCAATTCTGAGATCTCATCCTCCTGATTAGCTAGGATTGAACATAGATGTGAACCAACTTCTAAATATGTTTGGGAATTTTTTTTTCTGTACCATGGTTCTTTATTGCCACTCTATGCACCTGTGTTACTCAGCTGTAAATTGTATGTCTTTGCTTCTACCAATCAACATACAAACTGTGCTATCTAGGTCCCAATAGAAGGTAGCTCTTTCCTCACCTCCTCTTATCTTAGTGCCAGATTGCCTGCATGAATTTTTCCGCTGAAACAAGTCTTGCTACCACAGACTGTCAAGGATGCTGATATGAGTAGTCATCTTTGATGATCAATTTTTCAACATTACTGTAATAAAAGTCACTAATATGTTCCATTTATTTATATGTGGTAATTTCAATCAGATGAAATTTCATAAAACTTTTATTACTATGAATAACACTATGATAGTTTATCATAGAAAAAACATGAATGGAAAGTCTCTATGGTTCATGAGGACGACAGTCATGAGTCGAGTGTGTAGAGGATAGAGTGTAGGGACATTTGGCTAGGACAGGAGGAAGACTCAGGCTTGGTTCTATGTGAGATCAGACACCTGGAGGTGAGACTTATTTTGGGTCTGCTTTAATAAGAGGTATATGGGAACACATGGAGTACTCAAGTTAGAGGGGACTAAGACCAGCTGGACACTATGCTGTGGTTATAAACCTAAGTCACATATCCTGGGAAGCTACCCTGGTCTAGCCCATCAGGACAGTTGGTTATCTGTTTGGGAATAAAATGGTATATATTACTACCTTGATTTCAATTCCTTAGAAAACTGTTTATCTCATAATCAGTCTTCAACCTATCTACCTGTATACATTAGCTAGGTATTAATCTGATAAAATAAATAAACCATATTTGACTAAATCAATGAGGCAATTTCAAACATCAATGTTGACATACATGCCCAGAAAATAAGGATTTAATCCACATTTTAATTGAGAGGAATATATTACTAGCAGTCTTGCCAATAGGCCTGTTTCCAATAGCAAATGTTGAACACACAGATTCTATTTTGTGTTTATATAATTTCAGGCTGAATTCTTTTGAAAGAAGACTATGTGTTCATTTAGATGTATTGGTTCTTAGACTTAAATTACAGAGAGTCGCAAACATTTATGTATGATTGTTACTGCAATAAATCTTTCATTTCCAAAATAGAAAGTATTCACTTTAGGATTGAGAGAGGACATTAAATACTTTCAGGGTTCTGTACAACTTGGAAGTGAAGACATACTAATCTGAGACACTACTATTATCTGAAGGTCTATTCCTATTAATACCTAACAACTTTATTTATTGAGTATGGATCTGAGTTAATATGTTAGATTTAAATGAACAATCACCCTCTTCATTACATATTTACGTAGATGATATAATTTCTGTAGTATAAATTTTATCTTAAGAATAGCCTTTCTGTTTATCTGTCTATGGGACACATTAGTAAGCTTATTAAGATTGAAATTAGGAGCAATTGTAGAGAAATTAGATGTTGGTGTAGCAAGCACGAAATACTGATTCGTTTTGCAAAAGTGACACTGTACATACTAAAACAGTCTTATACACCAGTAAACTAATTATTTAAACACTATAACATGATAGTGTAGCAGGACTGGTAGAACATGGAAATCAGTGACTTCTCATTGAGCAGCACATAATGAGTTGTCCAGAAATTTGTCTCCTTTCTTACACTGTACCTTAACAATTGAAACATCTCAAATGTAGAGAATTTCTGCATCCTAATTAGGAATACAATCTTTAATGATAGCGTGTTGTATAAGTTATAAGTTCAGTTTTAAGTTTTTCAATTTGTTTCCAAATTGTATTTTCTATGTTAACATAATAAGATCCTTCATGACAGGAAAATTAAACCTCGCAAATATTTACCTTAGTTCAACCTACCCAATAACCAACTTAGGTCAACAATCTGATTTAAACTCACCTGACCCAACATTCTTGAGTTTGCACTGTCAGTAAACAAGTAGCTTTATAAGCATGGCGTTTTCTACTGCCATTTCACTGAATTCTTTAAAAGGCTTTAACACCCAGCTGCGCTCCCATCATCTGCCAGGGATGTTACTGAGGTATATAAACCTCCTCACATTCCTTTAATACAAGAATTCCTTCTTTACCTAGCAAAATCCCTAGAGAGAAATTCAAAACAATGGTGTCATGTAATGCCCAAATTTACCCCACCAAGTACATTTCTTATCAAGCATTGTTGCCTCCTCCTTTATTTCCCCTTCTCATCCCTTCCCATCTCCTCCCTCCATACTCCCTCCCCATCTCCCCCAACCCAAGGTTGTAAAGTTTATTTTTCAACATAGCATCTTGTACATCTCCTTGTTGCAATGGGTCCACCTGTATCCCTATTTAAATGATTTGTTTTTTTGCCCTTCCCCTCCACAAATTATACCAACATCGAATACATTGAAAGCAGGGGTTATACCATGGGGGAGGGACATATAAAGCAACAAAAAAATCATCTTATAAATATGTTAGAACAATTGCATGAAAGAAAAAAAAACATTTGAATACTTATCTTGGGGTTCATTTCACCTAGCATTAACTTATCTGACCTTTTCTGCTTTTCTCAGACATATACTAGTTACTGCAAATAAGGGAAACCATGATGGGCCCAGAAAATTTTTCTGAGAAGACTTTTTCCTACAGGAAAATTCATTATGACAGTACATTTAATGGACTATAGTGATAATTTTCAGAAATCTAGTAAAATAAGGAGAAAGAAACAAGTCAAATAGGATGCTGATATGTGTAAGATTTTATTTAGGAGAGATACTACATGGCTATTAATGTATTTGAGAACTTCAAGATTAATAACAGTGAATCTTTGCAAAGGGCTTTTATAAATGGACACATTTCAGAAATAAGGATACAGGTTGACCCATTGTAACAATGAGATGTAAAAGATACTATGTTGAAAACGAACTTTACAACTTTGATGGGGGGAGGAGTTGGGAAGATGGGAAGGGAAGAGTTGGGAAGGGAAAAACAAAGGAAGAGGTAACAATGCTCCATAGGAAATGTACTCATTACCTTACCCATGTAACTGTAACCTCTCTGTACAATATTTTTACTATATATATAAATATATATAATATTATTGCTA